CCTGAGCCAGCCTGGCTCAGCTTGGAAACCTCTCTCTTTCCCCTCAGCGTGGCTGGCTCAGGAATTCTGGGAGTTGAAGTCTACCATTCATAAAAGAGCCAAGGTGGCCTACCCCTGCCCTATCCCATTTCACACCAATCTCTTCTTAAAAACCTCCCGTGATGAAGCACCCACCACGTCTGGTGGCCAGCCGTTCCACTGGTTAAATCGTCCTCCCTGTTAGGAAGTTTCTCCTTAGTTCCAGGTTGCTTCTCTCCTTGATTAGTGGATCCAAATGTAGGGACCAAGACACACACACACACACACGGATCACTATGCCCGCGGGCGACCTAAGGAAGGAGACCGTTGTCCCCCATCCTTCAGACGTCCCGACTCGCCGTAGACGGCCACGTTAAAGGGCCACCGATGGCTCCTCGTGAGTTGGAGACCCCTGAATTTAAGCCACGCTCTCCTCTTTAGCAACCGGTTCGACCCGGCTCTCCTCCCGTCCCCAGCGTATGTCCCGTCCCCTAAACAACATCCAATCCCCCCCCATCCCTGAAGCTTTCCTTCCTTGCAATTTTGGATGAAAAATGAATGAATTTAGGCCAAGCCATCGGGAGATTAATTCATCCCGCCCATCCAGATTGCAGCCGGCCTTCCGGGAGCAGCTTTTAATCTCTCCGTTTAAGCCTCTCTCTCTGTCCTGGGTTGGGAACGCAAACGGAGGTTGGCGAAGGGCGTCGTGTGAATTTCCATCCTGGCCCAGACGGCTGCCTGGTTTGGGTCCTCGGGAACAACGGCCCTCAGATTTACGCAGCGGACGACAAATCCGGATTACCGGCTGGACCATTTGGGTTTCGCCCAGTCTGTTGGCTGCGTACCTTCGGATTGGGAGCAGGACACAGCTGTCAGGCACACGTGTCAATCAACAGGGAGTTCACACTTTCCGTCTAGGGTTGTGTTTCTCCACCTTGGCGAGTTGAAGGTGGACTTCACTGTAACAGTAATAGAGTTGGAAGGGGCCTTGGAGATCATCTAGTCCAACCCCCTGCTCAGGCAGGAAACCCTATACCAGTGGTTCTCAACCTTTCCAATGCCGCGACCCCATAATACAGTTCCCCATGTTGTGGTGAACCCCAACCACTTATACATCACCGGGTGCCAGGGGCGTGGCCAAAGAAAAGGGGGAAAAATGGCGGACAGCCTTGTTTGGCGACCCCCGTGAAATGGTCGTTCGACCCCAAATGGGGTCCCGACCCACAGGTTGAGAACCACTGCCCTATACCATTTCAGACAAATGGTTGACCAGTTTCTTCTTAAAAACGTCCAGTGTTGGAGCATTCACCGCTTCTGGAGGCAAGGAGTTCCACTGGTTAATTGTTCTCACTGTCAGGAAGTTTCTCCTTAGTTCCAGGTTGCTTCTCTCCTTGGTGAGTTTCCACCCGTTGCTTCTTGTCCTGCCTTCAGGTGCTTTGGGGAATAGCTTGACTCCCTCTTCTTTGGGGCAGCCCCTGAGATATTGGAAGACTGCTATCATGTCCCCCCTCGTCCTTCTCTTCATTAAACTAGATATCCCCAATTCCAGCAGCCATTCCTTATATGCTTTAGCCTCCACTCCTCTAATCATCTTTGTTGCTCTTCTCTGCACTCTTTCCAGAGTCTCAGCATCTTTTTTACATCGTGGTGCCCAAAACTGGACGCGGTATTCCAAGTGTGGCCTTATCGAGGTGTTGTAAAGCAGTATTAACACTTCACCTGATCTTGATTCCAGCCCTCTGTTAATGCAGCCCAGCACTGTGTTGGCCTTTTTTGGCAGCTGCAGCTTCAACTCCCAGCCACGCCTTAAGGTGGGTGGACTTCAACTCCCAGAATTTCTCAGCCAGGTACTCAGCAGCGGGCCTTTCCATGTTTCTATTCCCTACGGGTCGTCCATTCACTAAGCGACTGTTCAAAGTCACAAGGACACCGAGAAAGGTGACTTACAACCGATCCTCGCTCTTACGACCGTTGCAACACCCCCATCCTGTGCTCAAAATTCGGGCCCTTGGCAAATGGCACGTATTTACGACGGTTGCAGCCTCCCCAGGGGTCACGCGATTGCCACTTGCGATGCTCCCACCTGGAATTCCGACCAGTGAACCCAGTGGGGTGGGGTGGGGTGGAGGGAAAGTCAGTTTCGCTTAACGACTGCCCGATTCGCTTAACGACCGCAGAGGTTTGCTGAATAACTTTGGCAGAAAAAAGGCTGGTAAAATTCACTTCGCAACTCCTTGCTTAGCCATGGGGATTCTGGCCCCAATCCTCCCGGCGTGGGCAGGAACCCCGGAAGGCCCCCAGAGCAGAACAGCCCCCGATGGGGCAAAAATACCCCCAAGACACCCCAACTTCCCAAGGCTTCAGATTTTCATTTGCATCCTTCTCTCTTTCCAAACTTGTAGACTTTTATTTTTTTTTGGGGTCAAGGATGCAAGCTGGCGTTTTTGCAAATGGAAATCCTTTTTTTTTTTTTTTACCCCAGAACAAATAGCATCTTTGTTTGAAAGGAAACTTGGTTTTGGCTTATGGAGCGTTTTGCTTCAGAGAATGTCGGATTGTCAGTGGCGCAGCCTGAAGGAATTTGAACCGTGCCCTGTTCCTGCTTTTATTTTATTTTTTTAAAATGCCTTTCGATTCTTGTTGCGACTAAATTCACAAGGTCCTCTGATTTGTCGTGCGGTTGTCCTTAACTTATTTCTCATAAGTTTCTTTTCTCTACTACTGAACTACTGAATGTTTTTCTAATCCAGCCCTCCTCTGCTTACTTCTGTCTTAATTTCCTTCTGAGTTTCACACATAACACTGCAGTTTTTCTAATTGTATATTCAGGCAGAACTCTCGGAGGTTAACCAAATAATGGCACCCGTTTATCTTAATATGGGCCTGCCGCTACATCCGATGGGAAATGTGATTGTCCAAATTAATAGTTTCCAGGTGAACGCTGAGTTTTCCAAGGCTTGTTGGAAATATATTACTTGTTTAATCCTTTCCTTGTTTCTCTTCAAATTTCTCCTTTCCCCATTTTTAATTTTAGATCTGAGTCCCTCTAAGTCAGGGGTCCCCAATCTTTTGGGTAGCAGGGACCGGTTCCGTGGAGAGGTTTTTTCCGTGGACTGGAGGGAGCATGGTTTCGTGTGCTGCCTGCATCCCGTGGATGGGGCTTTGCTTGTTTGTGTGGACCGGATTGCTGGCCTGCCACGGACCGTTGCCGCTCCGTGGACTAGGGGTTGGGAACCGCTGCTCTAAGCGTAGGTTTTCATGGGAAATGTGGTCAGCATTACAAATAAATACCTACAATCATCTTCTTTTTAAAATGAGCATGTCATTCTTTTAGTTGAAAGAAAAAAAGAAAGAAAGAAAGAAAGGAGAGAAAGAAGACAGAGAGAAAGAAAAAGAAAGGAAACAAAAACGAAGAAAGGAGAAATAAATAAATAAAGAGAGAGAGAGATGATAGATAGATAGATAGACAGACAATAGGAAGAAAGGAAGGAAGGAAGAAAGGAAGGAGAAGAAAGGAAGGAAGGAGGAAGAGAAAAAGAAAGAAAGAAGAGAGAGAGAAAGAAGACAGAGAGAAAGAAAAAGAAAGAAGAAAGGAGAAAGAAAGAAAGAAAGAGAGAGATGATAGATAGATACAAAGGAGAAAAAGAAAGGAAGGAGGAAGAGAGAGGTAAAGAAAAGAAGGAAGAAGGAAGGAAGAGAAAAAGGAAGGAAAAAGAAAGAAAGAAGTGAGAGAAAGATGACAGAAAGAAAAAGAAAGGAAAGAAACAAAAAGGAAGAAAGGAGAAAGAAAAAGAGAGATGATAGATAGATAGGAAGGAGAAAAAGAAAGAAAGGAAGGAGGAAGAGAGAAAAGAAGGAAGAAGGAAGGAAGAGAAAAAGAAAGCAAAAAGAAAGAAAGAAAAGGGAAGGAGAGAGAAAGAAAAAGAAAAAGAAAGAAAGGAAAGAGATAGATAGGAAGGAAGGAAGGAAAGAGAAAGAGAAAAAGAAAGGAAGGAAGGAAAGAAAAAGGAAGGAAAGGAAGGAGAGAGAGAAAGAAAAGGAAGGAAGAAAGAAAAAAGAAGGAAGGAGGAAGAGGGAGAAAGAAAAGGAAGGGAGAAAAAGAAAGAAAAAGAGAGAAAGAAAGGAGTGAAAGAAATAGGAAGGAAAGAAAGAAAGAAAGAAAGAAAGAAAAAGAAAGAAAGAAAGACAAAAAGCCACCTATCAGCAGAAGGAATGGACTAATGAAAACAATCTTAGAAAAACTTGAAACAGCTCAAATCAGCCCGGCTGCCTCTACAACCTGCAAAATACGAACGCTGAAATCCGTCTCCATTTTTTGCTCCCTTCGGGATCCCTACTTTCGGAGGCTCAGCGGCGGCAGCAGGGGCTCTTTCTCAAGAAAACCAAAGGCTTTTCTCCCTTCTCTACCCATCATGGCTTGTAAGAAACCCTGATGCAAAAAGCCACAGGAGGAACTCAGCCCAGGCCCCCTCGATAGTAAATGAACAAACAGGAAGATACAGGGGGGGGGGGAAAGTTTGCTATGCCTCTTCTTCCTCGGATGGCTATCACGCTACCACGCTCCGGTCTCCGTGGTCAGATCCCTCTCGGAGCGAGGGAGACGCCAACGGAGCACAGGGGCCCGATCCACCAGCCTGTCCTTTTTTGCAGAAGAAACCTCCCTGCCCGAGAATTCGGCTGCTCGCTATGGCAACAGTCAATATCTTCTTTAGTGCTAAGACGGCGTTTCGCCACCTTCGCCGCTGGAAGGTGGGTGGACTTCAACTCCCAGAATGCCCCAGCCAGCCATGGCATTGCCATGGCTGGCTGGGGCATTCTGGGAGTTGAAGTCCACCCACCTTCCAGCGGCGAAGGTGGAGAGGACAGAAAGATCAGGAGCTTCTGTAAGCAAGGATGGATTGAAACCTTCGAACCGGTGCGTTTCCCGATATCAGATTTTTAGGAACGCCTGTAATAAAACCCCCGCCGATCTACCAACGTACCTGTGTCTCATGCTGGTCTGGCTCCTCTCGGCTTCCTCCACCGTCATCCCGGCCTCCATAAGGTAGCTCTCCATCCGACGCTTCTCCAGGCAACACCTGGTGGCCTCCAGTCCCTGGGGAGAAAACGGGGCTTCCCCGTCCGAGCCCAGAGGCAGCCCCTGCCTCTTGGGGCTTCGTCGCTGGACGCCGTCCCCCCCACGCGTCTTGCTCTTTTTGTTCAGGCCGTAGAGCTCCTCCAGGCTGTATTTGCCCCCTCCTCCGGTAGCCCCCCGGCTCTTGGGAGCCGGACCCCCCCGGGAAGAACTAGCAAACATGGGAGTGGGCGAGAGGTGGTGGGGTGTAAACCCTGCACCGTGGATGACAGCAGCCTTAGATAGAGTCCCTGTGCGGAACAGACAGAGAGTGGATTCTCTGGGCTGCCCCCCCCCAACCTGCAGAGTGTGTGTGTGTGTGTGTGTGTAGGGGGGACACGTGGGGGATTTGTAGGGCTAGCAGCTGTTGAGTGTGGTCTCTGTCCCGGAGTTTTCCACTGGATCCTCGGTTTCCGCTCTCGGATTCGTTAGCTGCTGCCTAATCCCTTTTTCTTTTGGGGGTGATTAACTAATTTCCTCGTCTGTGTGTGTGTGTGTGTGCGTGTGTGTCCTTTTGCATGCAGTTTGGGAAGGTATGGACAACACGGGTGAGATGACGCGATTGGAGCGCCCCGTTTGTTTAAATGCAAAAGCGAGGAATGGTCCGTCCGGCCTTCTCTTGGCTGTTCACCCTGTCGACCCAGGACTGTTGGGCTAGGTTTGCCGTATTGTGAAGTTGGCGGACGATACAACAACAGTGGGCCTTATTCGTGACGACAATGAGGGGGCTCGCCACAAGGAGGTTGAGGGTTTGGTAAACTGGGCTTAAGGAGAACAGCCTAGTTTTAAACCCTGGAAAAACCAAAGGGATCATTGTCGATTTCAGAAAAGGCAGACACAGCCACACTTCTCTGTGAGATTCCATGATTCACCCGTGGAGATGGTTACCAGCATCAAATTCCTGGGTGTGTAGTCAACAAGTAGGCTGGCTTGGTTGCTCAACTGCGAGACATGGGTGAAGCGGGCACAGCAGGGCCTGCATTTCCTGCGTTGCGTGAGAAAAGCACATCTTCCTTCTCCTGTCCTCACCACTCTCTACAGAGGGACGATCGAGAGCATCCTGTTATACAGCATCACAGTCTGGTTTGGAGGCATCCCTGCTTCGGACAGGAAGGCAGTGCCGAGAGTGGTGAGGACAGCAGAAAAGAGGATTGGCCAGCAGTTCTCAACCTGTGGGTCGGGACCCCATTTGGGGTCGAACGACCCTTTCACGGGGGTCGCCAAACAACGCAGTCCGCCATTTCCCCCCCCCCCTTTTCCTTAGCTGTGCTGCTCCCTTTTATTCTATTGGCTTTTGAAAGCCAATAGAATAGACTCTCTTGAATAGAGTCTAATTCTATTGGCTTTCCAAAGCCAATAGGGATTGTCCAGGCTGTCTCTGCCCTGCTGAGCCCGCCAAAAGTCCCATTCTGCAAACGGTGCTGCACCCGTTGAGTAGTCCTCGACTTACGACCGGTTGAGTAGTCCTCGACTTACGACCAGTTGGGGGTCGCGGCATTAAAAAGGTTGAGAACCACTGGGATTGGCAGTTCTCTCCCTTCCAGCCAGAACGTGGCACAGAAGCGACGCTTGAGCAGGGTCCGTAGGATTGTCTGGCACACGACACACCCTCTTCACAACCTGTTTTCCTTGTTCCCTTCTGGGAGGGGAGGGGGGGCTCCATGGTATCCGGAGCAGAACATCAACATTCAGTTTCGTTCCATACAGTGTTAACCTTGTGAACTCTCAAGCTTTCTTCTTCCGTTATGTCTTCAAGATGGACAGTGATTAATATTTAGATGTTACTTACATGTAAGGATGTAGGTCTATACGTATGTTGTATATAGTATGTTTAAATGGGTGTTATGTATGTGTACACTTTGAGAGCAACTAAATTTCATTTTTAATGTGTGCCATTGTGCCCACAGTAAAAAAAATGACAATAAAGGTTATCTATCTATCTATCTATCTATCTATCTATCTATCTATCTATCTATCTATCTATCTATCTATCTATCTATCTATCTATCTCTAGTATCTTAGTGTATCTATATCTACTTAATATATCTACCTACGTACCTCTTAGTATATTTATATCTACCTAGTATATCTATCTGTCTGTCTCTCTACTTAGTATATCTATAATAATAATAATAAAGTTGGAAGGGACCTTGGAGGTCATCTAGTCCAACCCCCTGCTCAGGCAGGAAACCCTATACCATTTCGGACAAATGGTCGTCCAGTCTCTTCTTAAAAACTTCCAGTGTTGGAGCATTCACCGCTTTTGGAGGCAGGCTGTTCCACTGGTTAATTGTTCTGATTGTCAGGAAGTTTCTCCTTAGTTCTAGGTTGCTTCTCTCCTTGGTTAGTTTCCACCCGTTGCTTCTTGTTCTGTCTTCAGGCGCTTTGGAGAATAGCTTGACTCCCTCTTCTCTGGGGCAGCCCCTGAGATATTGGAACACAGCTATCATGTCCCCCTTCGTCCTTCTCTTCGTTAAACTAGACATGCCCAATTCCAGCAACCGTTCCTCATATGTTTCAGCCTCCAGTCCCCTCATCATCTTTGTTGCTCTTCTCTGCACTCTTTCTAGAGTCTCAGCATCTTTTTTACACCGTGGTGACTATCTATCTATCTGTCAATATTTCTATTTTCTTTTCCCGTTTCTGCACCCAACGAAATAAACAAGCGGAAGAAGGGAAAATTAACACACGGCCGTCCGTTCGGCGACGGTTTCAAGTTGACCAGACAGATTTAATGACCGCTTCTTTTTTTAAATCATATTTTATTCATTCATTTATTATTTATTTATTACTACGACCCCTTCTCAAAGGTCCGGCCGCTGCAACCCCAAAAAGGGACAGTCCCCAACCGGCCGAGAATGGAGCCTAGCGAGAACGACCTGGTCCGAAGGAATCGGGATCTGATTTAAAAAAAAAAAAATCAGAATATTCCGCTATAAATAAGAGCGATGGGGCAACATCCAGATCCAGTTCTTGGAGACGGTTCCTGGTGAGAAGTATACCGGGCTGGTCCAAACGCACAGCATCATGGGAAATCAGGCGGCTTGCTGCTTCCGGACCGTTCATGAGTCCTTGGGAGGGCGGGGGGGGGGGGAAGAGTGTCAAAAAAATAAAATTTAAAAAATAAAAATAAGAGAGCTAGCCAGCACGAGCCGAGAAGAAAGGCAGAGCCCGGACGAAGCTGTCCAGCTTGTTGCGAAAAAGCTCGCTCTGGATGGTCTCGTTCAAGCTGCAGAGGGGGTTCTTGACCACGTACTCCACGTAAATCTAAGGAGTAACAGAGGTGGGGGGTTAAGTGGGGGGTTCCTCCTCCCCGAGCCCACTCAGCGTCCCCCCCACCAGAGAGAGAGAGGAAAGATGGAGCAGGGTCACGGCCTTCCAAGTGTCCAATCTGTCTTCTTTTCGTTAGGCAGGTACTTCAGGGTTAACAACCTTAATTAAGCAGAACCTTTTAACTTGCAGACATTTCATCCCCTGACTAGGGAACATCATCAGCTTGCTCTGTGGAAGGCAAATCCCGCCTCCTTGCAGCACTGATGTTGTTACCCACTACGGTAATGAGTTGTCTGCAAGGAAACCGCCAAGCTTGGAGATCGCCAAGAAGCCCACAGTCCTCTACTCCGCAAATCCCACTCCCTTCTGACTCTGATGACGTTCCCTAGCTGGGTCATGAAACGTCTGCAAGGAAACCACCCAGCTCAGAGAGCACCAAGGATCCCACAGTTCTCCTCCTCCTCCTCCCACACTCCCTTTACTGGATTCACTTAATGGCTAGGGCAGGGGTAGGCAACCTTGGCTCTTTTATGACTCGTGGACTTCAACTCCCAGAATTCCTCAGCCAGCATGGGGGAACTATGGCCCCTTTTATGACTCTTGGACTTCAACTCCCAGAATTCCTGAGCCAGCATGGGGGAACTATGGCCCCCTTTAGGACTCGTGGACTTCAATTCCCAGAATTCCTCAGCCAGCATGGGGGAACTATGGATGACTTGTGGACTTCAACTCCCAGAATTCCTCAGCCAGCATGGGGGAACTATGGCCCCCTTTAAGACTCGTGGACTTCAACTCCCAGAATTCCTGAGCCAGCATGGGGGACCGATGGCCCCCTTTAGGACTTGTGGACTTCAACTCCCAGAATTCCTCAGCCAGCATGGGGGAACTATGGCCCCCTTGATGACTCGTGGACTTCAACTCCCAGAATTCCTCAGCCAGCGTGAGGGAACTAGGACCCTTTGATGACTTGTGGACTTCAACTCCCAGAATTCCTGAGCCAGCCTGGCTCAGCTTGGAAATCTCTCCCTTTCCCCTCAGCGTGGCTGGCTCAGGAATTCTGGGAGTTGAAGTCCGCCAGTCCTAAAAAGAGCCAAGGTGAATCACCTACCCCCGGGCTAGGTGATTCTCTTAGCAAAACCACAGGAAATCTGCTTAATGTCCGTGGCAACCAAAAAAAAAAAAAAAAAAAAAAAAAAAAAAAAAAAAAAAGGAAAAATTGCGCACGACTCGTTTAACAACCGGCTTGCTTAGCGATGGAAGATGCCGGCCCCCGGGGTAAACCGTAAGCGGAGGACCGCCTGCGCCGGAAGGAAGGGGGGGGGGGACGGCGCCCAAACCCTCACATAGCTGTAGATCTGGTGCAGGATCTCCTGGATGTTGCCCACTCCAAGGTCGGTGTTCATGACCACCTTGAGCCCGCTGGGCGTCTCGTAGTAGTGCAACTTGTACTTGCTGGTCTGGAAGGAGAGGAAGCCGTCCTTCCTGCGGGGCGGGCGTTAAGGGAAACGCCGCCTTCTTCGCCGGCCGCCCCGGAGGCGTCGCTCTTGCGAGCGTAGCTTTGGCTGTTAGGAAGAAACACCCCCCCACCCCCTCAACTGCCCAGTGGGGGGAAAGGATACATGTCCAGGGGGCTCATTTTGCTCACGAAGGAGCGGATGGAGAAGAGCATCCCGTACATCAGCTTGAATTCCTGCCAGGTGGAGCGGAGAGAGAAGAGAGGACAGAGTTGGAAGGGGACCTCGGAGGTCATCCAGTCCAACCTGGTGCTCAAGCAGGTGACCCTAGACCAGGGGTAGGCAACCTCTTTTAGGACTGGTGGACTTCAACTCCCAGAATTCCTCAGCCAGCGCGAGGGAACTACGACCCTTTCACGACTTGTGGACTTCAACTCCCAGAATTCCTGAGCCAGCGTGAGGGAATTATGGCTCCCTTGATGACTGGTGGACTTCAACTCCCAGAATTCCTCAGCCGGCATGAGGGAACTATGACCCTTTGATGACTGGTGGACTTCAACTCCCAGAATTCCTGAGCCAGTGTGGCTCAGCATGGAAATGCCTCCCTTTCCCCTCAGCATGGCTCGCTCAGGAATTCTGGGAGTTGAAGTCCACCAGTCATAAAAGAGCCAAGGTTGCCTACCTCTGCCCTACACCGTTCCAGACAAATGACTGTCCAGTCTCTTAAAAACCTCTGTTGAGGTTTTTCTGGTGGCAAGTCGTTCCACCGATTACATTTACTCCTCGACTTACAATCTTTTGATTGATGACCGTTCAACATTACAGCGGCACTGCAAAAAAAGGGACTTACGACTTTATGACCGCCGCAGCATCCTCATGGTCACGTGATCAAAACTCAGACGCTCAGCAACTGACTCGTATTTACCACAGCTGGCTCAGGAATTCTGGGAGTTGAAGTCCACGAGTCCTAAAAGAGCGAAGGTTGCCTACCCCTGTTCTAGGTGAAGTTCTAATTCTCCAATTCTAAGGCTAGGAAGGGACGAGAGAGCAGGGCTTCTGAGTTTACTCGTTCACGCTTCCTTTGGTCCTGCTCTGCGGCAAGTTTAGGCAAATTAAGACAATCCAACATTTGCAGCTCCATGACCCACAGCAGGGAACATCCTGCTGTTGTGTTCACCCAAGCTTTAAGACTTCTTCCATCTCTGCTCGTCACAGCGCTTGGACAAAAACCGCTCCACGCTTCAGAGAGGCTGGCAGGGCTCAGCAGGGATCGGGGCTCAGAAATTCTTACAGGAGACGGTCACGGTTAACCCTTCTCCGGCTGAGCACCATGGGGCAGCACTGCCTGGTCTCGTGCTCCTGAGCAGGGGAAACCTTGCTGCATAGATATTGATCCTGAGCGGGGTGGCAGGGCCCAGAATCGTGAATTGAAATTGTGGGAGGGTAGATTCCACCCCAATGTGAGAAAAAAAAAAAGCGAGAAAGTTGGAGAGCGAGAATCCCAGCTGGGAGGAGGAGTCAAGTGAGGACTTAGCCTGGACTCACTACATCAGGGGTCTTCCAACTTGGCCCTTTGAGGACTTGTGGACTTCAACTCCCAGAATTCCTGAGGCAGGCACGCTGGCTGGGGAATTCTGGGAGTTGAAGTCCACAAGTCATCAAAGGGCCAAGCTTGAAGACCCCTGCTTGTGGACTTCAACTCCCAGAATTCCTCAGCCAGACTGAGGGAACTATGATCCTTTGATGACTTGTGGACTTCAACTCCCAGAATTCCTCAGTCAGCGTGCCTGGCTGAGGAACTCTGGGAATTGAAGTCCACCAGTCATCAAAGGGCTAAGTTTGAAGACCCCTGCTTGTGGGCTTCAACTCCCAGAATTCCTCAGCCAAGCATGCTGGCTGAGGAATTCTGGGAGTTGAAGTCCACAAGTCACCAAAGGGCCACGTTGGAAGACCCCTGGCACTACATAAACGCAAGAGGGCTAGGTCTAAGAGTTCTAAGAGTTTAACTTTGGCAATTTTAACACTTGTGGACTTCACCTCCCAGAATTCCTCATCCAACTCTCAATTCTGAGAGTTGAAATCCACCTGTCGTAAAAGTTGCCAAGACTGGACACCCACCGTAGAGCCTTATTTGGTCGTTCCCATGCCAAAGCTGCCAGTCTGGGGGAGATTCCTGTACTATAGACAGAGAACAATAAAGTAGCCAGCTTGAACCTTGGATGTGTTCGCCCTGGACGCTTCCTTACAATTTAGAGACGTCCAAGGGTGAAAGCAATGATCCAGGAGCGATGGGTTCTTTCCCCTCCACTGGGTGTGACAAGCGGAGGCTGGCCAGCCACCCGTGGGATGGTTGATTTGGATCCCTCAACTGCGTAGGATCTCCCGACTCTACTCGCACGCGCTCCCTCTGCCCTCTGCACACAGGATGAAAAGCAGTCGCTAAAGTAGCCCTGATACCTGGCTAAAAGCAGAAGCACAGAGCTAAGCCATGTTCCTCTTGCAGCCAGAACAGAAGCGCAGCGCAGCCGCCGAAGCACATGTAAGCCTGGCCTTCAATCAGCTTAACGGGTTTTTTTTTTTAATCCATTAACGCTAAGCCCTGCTTCCTTGGAAGCCCACCAAATTTGTGAAAGATTCATATTGGGGCGAGATTAGCAAAGAGACGAGGCCACCCAATCAGAAAGACACATTTAAAGCCTGAAAAAAAAGCATGTCGGCAAGTGTCGAAGCTTAAGCCAGCTTCGGGCACGTCGCATTGAGTGCGGTCCTCTCCAAAAGGGCCGTTTATTTTGATTTAGTTAGCCATTTTTTTTAAAACTGCCCGGCTATCTCACAGAGCGTCATGGAGTTGTAAATCCCATCATCCTACAGTCAGAGGTCACGTTGGCTGGAGAGGAGGATTGTCCAAATTCTCCTTGGTTTGGAATACAATTTTAATAGCGTTCCGCTGCAGGCCAGATCAGGTTCACCCCGTTGGCAATTTAGAACAGTGCTAATTGGGTTTTCTGGAAAGCTTTCATGGATTAATGGAGTTGGGGGTTTATTTATTTCTACCACAATTTTGATAGTCCACCCACTGAGCCAGCCCTGTGCCGCAGCTGCCAAAAAAGCCAACACAGTGCTGGGCTGTATTAACAGAGGGACTGAATCAGGATCACGTGAAGGGTTAATACCACTTTACAATGCCTTGGTAAGGCCACACTTGGAATACGGCGTCCAGTTTTGGGCACCACAATGTAAAAAAGGTGTTGAGACTCTGGAAAGAATGCAGAGAAGAGCAATAAAGATGATCAGGGGACTGGAGGCTAAAACATACAAGGAACGGTTGCTGGAATTGGGGATGTCTAGTTTAATGAAGAGAAGGACAAGGGGGGACAAGATAGCCATGTTCCAGTATCTCAGGGGCTGCCCCAAAGAAGAGGGAGTCAAGCTATTCTCCAAGGGAGGACAAGAAACAACAGACGGAAACTTATCAAGGAGAGAAGCAACCTGGAACTAAGGAGAAACTTCCTGACAGAACAATTAACTAGTGGAACTCCTTGCCTCCAGAAGCTATGGATGCTCCAACACTGGACGTTTTTAAGAAGAGGCTGGACAGCCATTTGTCTGAAATTGTACCTAGGGTTTCCTGCCTGAGCAGGGGGTTGGACTAGATGACCTCCAAGGTCCCTTCCAACTTTATTATTATTGTTACTGTTATTGTTATTATTACTATTATTATTATTCTCTTTCATAACCTTCTGACGAGCAAATTCCACGGGAGAAATCGGATTCGCTTAATGACCGTGTGACTAACTTCACAACTGCGGTCATTTGCTTCACAACGATGGCGAGAAAGGTCGCAAAACGGGGCGAAGCACACTTAGCCAACGTTGCGCTTAGCGACAGAAATTGTGGTCGTAAGCCGTGGACTCCTCGCATACGTATTTTATCTATCTTGCCTTATGAGTTTTGTATATAGTTACCCTGCGGTAAGACGGGGGTGGGGAGGGAGGAATAAATTAAATTATTCATAATTAAATGATTTTAATTATGAAATCAATAACTGGCATACAGGCAGTCCTCGATTTGCAACCATTCCCTTAGTGGCAACGGCTTAATGACCGTTTTTCACACTGAACGACCGTCGCAGCGTTCCCCTCGGTCACGGGATCAAAAAAAAAAAAAAATTCAGACTTTCAGCCACCGACTCGCATTTATGATGGTTTATGCAACGTCTCCTGGGGTCACCTGACACCCCCCCTGCCCCCATTTGCGACCTCCTGACGGGGCAAAGTCAACAGATTCGCTGAACGACCGCGCAACTCGCTCATCCGCTGCAGCAATTCGCTTAACGACGGCGGCCAGAAAGGCCAGCCAGGTTGGGTGCAATTGTGGTTGTAAGTCAGCAAGCCCGATTCGCTGAATGACCGCGCGACTCGCTCCTCCGCTGCAGCGATTCGCTTAACGACGGTAGCCAGAAAGGCCAGCCAGGTTGGGCGCCGTTGTGGTCGTAAGTCAGCAAGCCCGATTCGCTGAATGACCGCGCGACTCGCTCCTCCGCTGCAGCGATTCGCTTAACGACGGCGGCCAGAAAGGCCAGCCAGGTTGGGTGCAATTGTGGTTGTAAGTCAGCAAGCCCGATTCGCTGAATGACCGCGCGACTCGCTCCTCCGCTGCAGCTATTCGCTTAACGACGGCGGCCAGAAAGGCCAGCCAGGTTGGGCGCCGTTGTGGTCGTAAGTCGGGAAGCCCGATTCGCTGAACGACAGCGCGACTTGCTCATCTGCTGCAGCGATTCGCTTAACGACGGCGGCCAGAAAGGCCAGCCAGGTTGGGCTCCATTGTGGTCATTAAGTCGGCAAGCCGGATTCGCCGAACAACCGCGCGATTCGCTCCTCCGCTGCAGCGATTCGCTTAACGACGGCGGCCAGAAAGGCCAGCCAGGTTGGGCACCGTTGTGGTCGTAAGTCGAGGACTGCCTGCCCTGGCCCCTTTCTGGGATTAATGATGATGATAATTGATTTAGCAAGTTTAATTGATTCATTCATTATTATAATAATCTCCTCCCGTAAGGAAACGAGGTCAAGAAAAAAAGGGGGGGGGGTTCTGGGCGCAGGAGAGACCCGCCACCCGAGCCTGGCCGAGGCCTCTGAGCGCGTGCAGAGGGCATGTCCCCCCCCTCCCTCCGTGGAGGGGGGTGGGGAAATTGGGGCGGGGGGCGCTGAGGCTCACCTCCTCCTTGGAAATCCCGGCCTGCTTCTTGCGGTTCCACTCGCTGTAGTGCAGGCAGGCGCCGTTGCGGTCGAAGAGGTAGAGATTGTGCACCGTCATCTTGGGGGGGGGAAGACAAGGGGGGGGCAGGGGACCCCCAAATCAGAGCCAGGCCGCGTTTGAAGCCCCCTCAGCCGCCGCCACCACCGAGGGATATCAACACGCCAGTACTGAGGATAACGCCACCCATCATCCACCTCCCGCTCCGTTTTTTCCCGGGGGCCGGAAGGACCCCCCCAATATTTACCTCAGCCGCCGCTCCCGTCTCTATGACAACCGCTAGGCCCGACGTCGCTCAACTTCCGCCCCGGAGGGTGCGTGGCCGCGCCGCGCCGCCAACCCCTCTCGCGGATTGGTCCGTCCCGCTCGGCCCGCCCTTCTCCCCCCCCCCGAGCGTGCGCCGTCGCCGCTCTTCCTGCAGGCCCGTCCGACTGGGAAGCCTTGCCCGGAAGGAAAATGGCGGCGCCGGCTTCACCCCGTTCCCGCTCCGAGGCCTTGCCCGGCGCTGCGCGGGGGCGACGGAGCCGAGCGGGGGCCCCGGCGAGGACCGGAGCGGCGGGGACGGCGGCCTAGAGAGCCTGGCGGGGCAGCAGAGTGGGTCTCAAAGCGAGGACGCTAAAGGGACGGGGAGGGGGACGCGGTTTACCTCAGGAGGGGGGGTTCGCAATCTGCGGGAACTCCAACTCCCATTGGCCAACCTCAGAGCGCGGCCGAGCTCGCGTGGGGTGATGGGAGATGGAGTCCAAGGCGGTGGGTCAGCTGAGGAGGGCCAAGGGGTGGAAGAGGGGAAGGGGGTGTCCTGAAGGGAGCCATTTTGGAGCCCAGGGCATGATGTGTGTCTCTGTGTGTGTGTGTGTGTGTGTGTTGGGGGGGCTCTCGCTGCTCCCCGTTTCTCCTCAGCCCTCCTGGGATTTCCTGGTGGTCTCCCATCCTCTCTCTCTCTCTCTGAAGGTTGGCTAGCTGGTTTTGGGTCAGGCTGAGGAGGAAGCGGAGAAGAAATAAGGCCTGGCTGATTCCATGTTGAACGAGGTCAAAATTAGCCAATCTTTGTGATTCCCTCTGGAAATTTGATCAATTTTTGCATACTACCAACATGACCAATCTTGGACAGCGACAAAGAGAGGCCTATCAATTTTAATAACAACAACAACAGCTGGAACAGTGGACTCGACTCAAGCAGAACTAAAAGCAATGGATAGGCAGACCAGAAAAATAATGACAATGAATCGTACCCTTCATCCACGCAGTGACATTGATAGACTTTATCTACCAAGGCAAATAGGTGGGCGTGGAATGCTACAAGTACATCAGATGGTTGAAGAAGGAAAAAAATGGCTTTGGAAGAATATCTGAAGAACAATGATGAAGACGCACTGAAATTAGTATATCAGGAAGGCTTACTGACTACTGGAGAGACCAAACTGGCCTACAAGAAAGACCAAATGAAGAACAGAATAGAGGCATGGGAAGACAAAGCACTATTATGGCCAGTACATTAAAAAAAAAAATAACCGGGAAAGCAGATAATAGCAAGACCTGGCAATGGCTAAGAGCAAGAAAGTTGAAGAAAGAGACCGAGGGACTAATTCTGGCTGCACAAGACCAAGCTTTAAGGACAAATGCACATAAAGTCAAAATTGAGAAGACAGCAACAGACAGTAAGTGCCGCCTATGCAAAGAAGCCGAAGAAACACTGGACCACCTGGTAAGCTGGTGCAAGAAGATTGCACAGACTGACTACCAGCAGTGGCACGACAAAGTAGCAACAATGGTGCATTGGAAGATCTGCAAGAAATATCATTTGCCTGTAAGGAAGAACCAGTGGGATCATAAACTAGAGCAGCGGTTCTCAACGTTTGTGTGACGGCGACCCCCGTCACACAAACGTTATGCGCATGCGCGGCGTGGCCGCGCATGGGGGCGGGCCCCCCGCACGCGACGCGCATGCGCGGCGCCACCCCCGGAGGTGCGGTGCCGCCCCCATGCGCGGTGGCGCCCCCGGAGGTGCGCCGCCGCCCCCACGCGTGGCGCGCATGCGCGGTGGTGCCCCCGGGAGGCGCGCCGCCGCCCCCACGCGCAGCGCGCATGCGCGGCACCCCCCCCCGGAGGCGCGGCGCGCCCCCGGAGGGAACAAAATGGCGGATCGCCGTGTTTGGCGACCCCACAAAAGAGGTCGATCGACCCCAAATGGGGTCGCGACCCATAGGTTGAGAACCGCTGAACTAGAGAAAGTCATAGAAAATGATAAAGTTCAACTGCTCTGGGACCTCAGAATTCAAACAGACAAGCACCTGCAGCATAACACCCCGGACTTAACAATTGTCGATATAGAAAGACAAAAATAAGTCTGGATAGTGGACGTGGCAGTGCCTGGAGACAGCAGAATAGACGAGAAAGAACTGGAGAAGATCATAAAATACAAAGACCTACAAATAGAAATAGAAAGACTGTGGCAAAGGCAAGCAAGGGTGGCACCAATAGTGATAGGTGCCTTGGGTGCAATCCCAAAACATTTAGAGCATCACTTGAACACCATTGGCATTGACAAATTCACCATCGGTCAATTGCAAAAGACGGCCTTACTAGGAACTGCTTCCATCCTGTGACGAGATCTGTAATACCATTAAACATCCACATTTGCCTATCCCAGGTCCTTGGTAAGGACTTGATAGGTAGACAAAAATGCTGAACCCAGTCTGAACATCTGGCTGACTGCAATGATCCCTAATAATAATAATAATAATAATAATAATAATAATAATAATAATAATAATATAATTTGAATGTTCAGTTGACTGAGGTTCATATCTAATGAATAAAAGATAATAATAAATAGTAATAAACTGAAAAATTCTGCGGAAGAGTAGACGTGGCAGTACCTGGAGATAGCGGAAGAGAGAAGAAGAGAAAGAACTGGAGAAGATCACAAAATACCAAAGACCTGCGAATAGAACCACTGGGGCAAAAGGAAGCCAAGGTAGCACCAGCAGTCCTTGGTGCCACCCCCAAAACATCTGGAGCACCTTTTAAAACACCTTTTCAACACTGACAAAAATCCCCAATTAGTCAATTACAAAAGGCAGCTTTGCTTGGAGCAGTGAGGAGGCCTTTTAAGACCATTTAAGAACATTCACCTCTGGTCCTCGGGAACGATTTAGTTAGTGGGCAGAGCCGCCAAATCCATCGGAACCTCTGGCTGACCGTGCGAACGAATCCTTTTAAAAACATCCAGGGGAAGGCAGGGCGTGTCACCCTGCCTTCTCCCTTTGTGCTCTGAATTTCAAGTTCTTTTTTTATTATTATTCTTTTCCAGGACCGGCTGGGGAAGCTACCACGCGCCCTCTACTTTCCTGGTGGCGGTTCTGGCCTCCGTTTGGGGCGCCATGATGGCAGAAGTCCCAGCCTTCTGAGCTCAGAATGCTGGTGCTGGCCGCAGCCCTTCGCTTAGGACCCCGGGACCATGGCTGAGAAGAGTTTCACCCGGGCTCTCAGCGCTTCCCTCCGCAGCGAAGATCTCCTAAGTGACGTGGAGCTGCTGCCAGCCTCGGACCCCCCCACCCCTGGGCAGCAGGTGCCTTCTTCTCAGCCGGCCACCCCGTACACCTCCAACGTGACCACCCAGCTCTACGCCTCCCTTCGCCAGAGCCGGCAGGCCGAGGCGCTGGCTTTGTCTAGGCTGGAGGACCAGCACGGCTCGGCCCTGGCTAGGAAAGCCGTGGAGGCCGACGTCGATCTGGACACGCTAGCGGAAGAGCTTAGCCACCGGCTTTCCGCCAGCGTGGAAGCCAGTGCATTTAGACAGGTGAGAGAGTAACTGCTGGGATGGCGGACCCCCCCCCCAGGTTTGCAGGAAAGCTCGGTTGGCTGAGCCCCTCTTCATTTGCAGGGTGCCGTGCCCGAATCCCGCCACATTTCCGAGATGGAGAATGTCCGGTGCCACCTCCAGAGTATGTTGCGAGGATCCAGAGATGGGCCTGGTGAGAGTGGGGAAGGGGGAAATGGCCTGGATGGGATCTGAAAGGAAGGAATAAATCAAAGCCTTGCCGTGTTTCGTCCCTACAGGGGCCTGAGGACAGATACAGCATTTAATTTTTTTTTATCGCGTTTAGAAACCCGCCTACGTTGTTTTTATAAATAGCTTAATACAGAATATTCCTTCCGCCTCCTAGTTTCCCCACAATAACCCTGTGAGGTGGGTTGGGCTGAGAGAGAGGACAATTGGCCCAAAGTCACCTCGTCGGCTTTTATGCCCCCCTAGGTGGGACTAGAACTCACCACCTCCGCACGATTGGCTCCAGGTCACCCAGCCGACTTTTTTGACTAAGGCGGGACTAGATCTCGCTATCGCCAGGTGATTGGCCTAAAGCAGTGGTTCTCAACCTTTCTAATGCCGTGACCCCATAATACAGTTCCCCATGTTGTGGTGACCCCCAACCACTTATACATTACTGGGTGCCAGGGGCGTGGCCAAAGAAAAGGGGGAAAAATGGTGGACAGCCTTGTTTGGCGACCCCCATGAAATGGTCGTTCGACCCCAAATGGGGTCCCGACCCACAGGTTGAGAACCACTGGCCTAAAGTCACACAACAGGCTTTTGTGCCTAAGGGGCAACTAGAACTCACCATCTCCTAGCGATTGGTCCAGAGTCACCCAGGGGCTTTCAGGCCTAAGGCAGACTAGAACTCGCCGTCTCCTGGTGATTGACCCAAAGTCACCCAGCTGGCTTTCACGCCTAAGGCAAGACTATACTCCGGATTTCTAGCTTGGTGCCCTAACTGTTAGACTAAACCGGCTGTTTAATTTTCTAAGACAGTTTATTTCACAAAGTTTAGTGTCTTTGTATCTTACAAGTCGGACCTGTAGGGGATGTTGTCTGGTGGGAAAGACCAGGGCCACATGTGAAGGTCCAATTAGATTGATTTATTGCTGAAAGCCTTTGCACAGGAATCTTCTACCTAAACTGCTTTGTCGCTGAAAGCCCATGCACAGGAATCTTCTACCTATACTGCTTTGTCACTGAAAGTCTGTGCACAGGAATCTTCTAATAAACTGCTTTATCACTGGAAGCCTATGCGCAGGAATCTTCTAGCTCAGTGGTTCTCAACCTTTTTAATGCCAGGACCCCCAACCGGTCGTAAGTCGAGGACTACTCAACCGGTAGTAAGTCGAGGACTACTCAACTGGTGCAGCACCGTTTGCAGAATGGGACTTTTGGCGGGCTCAGCAGGGCAGAGACAGCCTGGATAATTCCTATTGGCTTTTGAAAGCCAATAGAATTAGACTCTATTCAAGAGAGCCTCTTCTATGGGCTTTCAAAATAGAATAAAAGGGAGTAGCACAGCTAAGGAAAAGAGGGGAAAAAATGGCGGACTGCGTTGTTTGGCGACCCCCGTGAAATGATCGTTCGACCCCAAATGGGGTCCCGACCCACAGGTTGAGAACCACTGTTCTAGCTAAACTGCTTCATTGCTGAAAACATGCCCAGGAATCTTCTACCTAAACTGCTTTATTGCCGAAAGCTTGTGCACAGGAATCTTCTAACTAAACTGCTTTATCACTGAAATTCTATGCACAGGAATCTTCTACCTAAATTGCTTTATCGCTGAAAGCCTCTGTGCAGGAATCTTCCACTAACAGTTAGCACCTGCTAGGCATTAGAGAAGAATCCACAGAACTCAAGGGAGGCTGGGCTTCGTTTCCTTGTGGCTACGTAGGGATTCTAGACTGCTTCCTCTTTTGACTTCGCCCTCGGCTTCTGCCACTCCTTCCCCTATAGCAGTAGCCCCCGAAAGCCGTGCTTGCTTTCAGCCGCTTTTTTTCTACTCTCTTCTCGCAGGGGGTCCGACGGCCACGCTGGAGTCCCTGGAACGCAAAGATGACGACTCCTTTGAAAGCGACAGCACGGGCGTTCTGCTCAAGTAAGACCACCTTAGCCGAGTCGGGGGGTCTCTTACTACAGAGCATAAGGAAGGTGTTAACACTGCTAACACCGGATGTTCTTGCTTTGACAACATATGGCGATGCAGCCTTTTTCTTTCTTATGCTTTACTCTTAGAATTAGATGATACTGGGGGGGGGGAGGAGAGGAGGAGGAATGTGCTTAGGAGTTTAGCTAGACCAGGGGTAGGCAACCCAAAACACTCAAAGAGCCACTTGGACCCGTTTCCCACCAAAAACAAAATACTGGGAGCCGCAAAACCCTTTTGATATCTAAAATGAAGATAACACTGCATATATCCTTTTTTACCTTTATTATAGGTGTGTGTATGTGTATGTGTGTGTGTGTATGTGTATGTGTATATGTGTATACACACACACACACACACACACACAAACACATATACACATTAAAAATAAAAGTAAAAATATGACTCTTGGGAATATCCATACTATTAAAACAATGATCACCAAGAGAATGCTTTAAGAGAATAAAATTACATACACACACAGGTAAAAAAAGGATATATGCAGTGTTATCTTCATTTTAGATGTCAAAAGGGTCTCTCTCTCCCTCCCTCTCTATCTGCCCTTGGTCTGCCACTCCTCTTCCCCCACTCTCTCTCTCTCTCCCTCTCTCTCTCTTTCTCTCTCTCTCTTTCTCCCCCCCCTCCTATCTGCTGCTCACCTGGCAAGCTTCAAGCTGTTGTCCAACAACCTCCGGGGTAGGCAACCTCGTCTCTTTTATGACTCATGGACTTCAACTCCCAGACTTCCTGAGTCAGCCTAGCTGGGCTAGCTAGCTCTCTCCTGCCCTTCCTGCTTCCTGCTTCCTGCAGAGACGCAGCAAAGGGAGGAGCTCAGCCCAGTAAGCTTTTCAGCTCCTGGGAGAACACTGTCAGTGCGCTCTCTTTTACACATACACGCACACACACACAAAACACACACACACACACACACACACACACACACACACACACACACACACACACAGACACACCCAGACACACACACACAGAGAGAGAGAGAAGCAGGGAAGTGCAATTGCCTCTCTCTGTCTCTGTCTCTCTCTGCAAAGGCAGAGGAGGCTGGGAGCCACCGGGGAAGGCTCAAAGAGCCACATGCGGCTCCGGAGCCGCAGGTTGCCGACCTGTGAACTAGACACAACAATACTGTAACTAGTGTGAGAACCAAGATTTTTGAAATAAGAGATGATAAGAAATGGCGGGCTGAAGAACTGGAGGGAAAGCCTGCATTTCAAGCTAATTGGAGAATGTGATTTACGACTGTTAATTAGAGGAGGGAATTGTGCTTTGATACTGTGTGCTCAGGGGAGGGGAATCCAGATTTTGGCTTTGCTTATGTACGTGCCGATGCTATGCTGCTCGAATAAAGATTATTTAAGGCAGACAAGGCCCGGGGGCCGAATGCAGGCCGCGAAGTGGTTTCATGTGGCCCGCGAAGCCATCCTGGAAACCGTGAGGGAACAGGCCCCCCCTGCCTTGGCCCTGACCCAGGTCAGCCGGAAGCCAATGTACAATTTTGTGGTGGCCATCTATGCTGAAACGCATTCAGTCTTAGCTCCATAACCCCCCCAGCATGGCCTGAGAGGAACAGCGTGGCTTCTCCAGTGGACCATGCCTTGGCGCTTGCCCCAGGGTCCCACCCCCTTCTTCCAGAGACCCTCAGATCTGTCCCACTCCTGCCCAGGCCCCCACAGGCACCCTTGATGCGAATGATGTAGAGCTGGCCACGCCCAACCAGTAGGCCACACCCACCCTGGCCACACCCACCTGGCCCCCTGAGGGCAACCACAGTGCTGATGCAGCCCTCAGTGAAATTGAGTTTGACACCCCTGCTTTAAAGAAAATAATGCCTCAAAGTTCTTTGAAGAGTTTCCTCTGTCGTAACCATGACATGAAGCCAAAATCTGGATTCCCCTCCCCTGAGCACCTAGCATCAAAGCACAATTCCCTCCTCTAATTAACCGTCATAAATCACATTCTCCCATTCGCTTGAAATGCAGGCTTTCCCTCCAGTTCTCCAGCCCGCCATTCCTTACCAGCTCTTATTTCAAAAGCCCTGAGTTCGCACACTATGGCAATATTGTCATGTCTAACTAACTCCCATCACATTCTCTCCTCCTCTCCCCCCCAGTATCATCTAACTGTAAGAGTAAAATATAAGAAAGAAAAAAGCTGCATCTCCATATGTTGTCCAAGCAAGAACATCCGGTGTTAGCAGCGTTGACAGAAGGGAGCTTTGAGGCAGACAGGCAAGAAGTGTTCCCCCAAAAAGGATGGGCCATTTTTTTTAAAGCCCAGAGCAAACAAGGTCATACAGGTAGTCCTCGGCTTACGGCCACGGTTCAGCCCAAAACGTACGTCACTAAGTGAGAAATTTGCTAACCGAGCCGTGCCCCCTTTTCCTGCCACAATTGTTAAGCGAACTGCTGAAGTGGTTAAATGAGTAACCCCGTTGTTAAGCGAGTTGGGTTTTCCCATGGACTTCGCTCGTCAGAACGTCACAAAAGGGGACCTGCGACCGTCATAAATACGAATCCCTCGCCATCGAATCTTGATCACATGACTGTGGGGACGCCGCAACGCTCGTCAGTGTGAAAAACAATCGCGAGTTCCCTTTTTCAGCGACCATTGCAACTTCCAGCGGTCACTAAACAGACTGTCGTAAGTGGAGGACTAGCCTGTGTTTGGGAATGCTGGGGTGGATGCCTCCCTGGGTTCACTGACGCTAAGAGGGAAGAGGAGGCTTAGGACATTGCAGGACCGCAAATAAGCCGGAAATTTCTGTCGCCGTGCAAAACGGTTGTGAAGTGAGCTTTGCCCCATTTTACGGCCTCCGTTGCCACAGTTGTTAAGATTCATTTAAGATTCACTGCAGGGGTTGAGTTCGTAAGCTGGTCGTTCTGTGAATCTGGCTTGCCCCATTGGCTTTTGCTCATCAGAAGCTCGCAAAAGGGGATCTGGAATGCTGCGACCGTTGTAACTACGAGTCAGTTCCTGAGCGTTCTGAATCTCGATCGCGTGACGGTCGTAAGTGTGGAAAAACGCGCTTTTCAGTGCCGCTGCAACTTCAAACGGTCGCTACGTTGAGGACGACCGGTCCTTGCAGGAGTCTGTCACAGGGTCGTCATCCCTTAACAACCGCTGGCAAATCAGTCACTAAGCGATACGGTAGGAAAGATCACGTGGCGTTGTGTCGAATTTAGATCGCCTCTACTGTGGCCCGGAAGGAAATTGGCACCTTTGCTTAGACCTTCCCTGTTGCCTTTTTGCCTTGCTGACTTTTCTTCTCTTCGCTTCGTTTAGCGCCCGTCCTCTGCACGAGGTCTCCCCTCCGGGATCCCTGGCCAGCTTTGAGGAGCTGTTCCCGCGCTACACCAGCCTGCGCCTGGGTCACTTCCACGATCAGGTCTCGCAACCGGATCCCCGCTTGCTCAAAGACGCTTTGGAGAAAGAACAGGCCCGGCGGAAAGTGAGTTGGACTCGCAGGGTTGCAAAGCATGGTGGGTAAGCGAGGGCACGAGGTGGCTGAGCCACGTGGCCCTGAAGCAGGCGCTTTCCTAACGGGCCTTGAGAATGCTAGTTTGGGGCGCCTTGTTTGTGCTCAACCCAACCCCCTGAGGTCCAACTGGGCCACTGAAAGAGCGAGCTGTGGGTTTCAGCTCCCAGAATCCCCCAGCCAGGATACAAGGTTTAAGTTGTGTAGACTTCAACTCCCAGAATCCTCCAGCCAGGATACTAGTTTTAAGATGGGTAGACTTCAAAAACAGAGGAAGAATTATTTGATGATCCAAATGCACTGAGTTGGAAAGATAGATGATATAGATACAATATAGATGATATAGATAGATAGATAGATAGATAGATAGATAGATAGACAGATAGACAGATAGATAGATAGATAGATAGCTACATGATATAAGATAGATGATAGAGATGGATAGATAGACAGATAGATAGATAGATAGATAGATAGATAGATAGATAGAGATAGAATATAGATGATAGATAGATAGATGATAGTGATAGATAGATAGATAAATAGATAGCTACATGATAGAAGATAGATGATAGAGATAGAATATAGATGATAGAGATAGATAGATGGATACATGATAGAAGATAGATGATAGATAGAATATAGATGATAGAGATAGCTGGACAGACAGACAGACAGACAGACAGACAGACAGACAGATAGGCAGAAGAACAGATGATAGAGATAGAATATAGATGAGATAGATAGATAGGAAGTGCACACCTACATAACACCCATTTCAACACACTCTCAACGGGCATCCTTGGCATACAGAGGATGGATTGACCCTCTCCACAGCACCCCCTCTCGTAATGCCCTCCTCTGCCCCTCCGGCTGCCCCCAGCCCCACCGTCTCCCTCTCCGCCTCCTCCCAGCACTGCGAGAGGCACATCCAGGCCCTCCAGAACCGTACCCTGGAGCTGCAGCAACAGCTGGCGGTGGCCCTCTCGGCCGACCAGAGGAAGGACAGCATGATTGAGCAGCTGGATAAGGTGAGCCTCAGCTGGGCGGGCAGGAGGGGAGAACAAGGGAGACCCTCGGCTGGCCCCCCCCCTGGAGGTTTTGCTGAGCAGGATTGTGAGGTCCTTCTGCGCTCTCCGACCTGGGTGGTTGTCTGGCAGAGACGTCTCATGACCTAACTCGGTAATACCATCAGTGCTGGAGGGATTTGCAGAGTGGAGGAGAGGGACAAGGGGAGGGAGAGGAGGAGGAGGAAGACAAGCAAGCAAGCTCAGAAAACACTAAGGACCCCCAGTGTCATCCTCCTCCTCTCTGCAAATCCCTCCTCCTTCTAGCATTGATGATGTTCCCTAGTTGGGTCATGAAATGTCTGCCAGAAAACAAGGAAGCTCAAAGTGGTCCTTTTCCTCCTCCTCCTCCTCTTCCTCCTCCTTCTCTTCCTCCTCCTCCTCCTCTTCCTCCTCCTTCTCTTCCTCCTCCTTCTCTTCCTCCTCCTCCTCCTTCTCCTTCTCTTCCTCCTCCTCCTCCTCCTTCTCTTCCTCCTCCTTCTCTTCCTCCTCCTCCTGCTCCTCCTTCTCTTCCTCCTCCTTCTTTTCCTCCTCCTCCTCCTTCTCTTCCTCCTCCTCCTCCTTCTCCTTCTCTTCCTCCTCCTCCTTCTCTTCCTCCTCCTCCTGCTCCTCCTTCTCTTCCTCCTCCTTCTCTTCCTCCTCCTGCTCCTCCTCCTTCTCTTCCTCCTCCTTCTTTTCCTCCTCCTCCTTCTCTTCCTCCTCCTCCTCCTCCTCCTTCTCTTCCTCCTCCTTCTCTTCCTCCTCCTCCTGCTCCTTCTCTTCCTCCTCCTCCTCCTTCTCTTCCTCCTCCTTCTCTTTCTCCTCCTCCTCCTCCTCCTCCTTCTCTGCAGACTTTGGCCAAAGTGGTGGAAGGCTGGAACCAGCAGCAGGCCGAGCGGACGGTGGCCCTGCGCAGGTTGCAGGCCGAGAAGGAGGCGGCAGAGCAAGGGCTGGGCAAGCAGAAAGAGGTGGGTCTTACCACTGTGGTCGTAAGTCGAGGACCGCCTGTGCTTGTAAGGTTGGATCTCTCCTGAAGGATCTGCCGTGTCGGTTTTGTTCTTCTTTAGAAAATGTCGGACCTAGAAGGACGTCTCCAGCAGGCCTTGTCCGCCCTCAGCCGGGAACAGCAGCTGGCCAGCCAGTACTACAGGGAGAAGGAGATCTTGGTAAGAGAGGGAGAGAGAAAGAGAGGGAGGGAGGGAGAGAGAGAGAGAAAGGGAGAAAGAAAGGGAGAGAGAAAAAGAGAGTGGGAGAGAGAGAAAGAGAGTGATGGAGAGAAAGGGAGAGACAGAGAGCTAGAAAGGGAGAAAGAAGGAGAGAGAAAAAGAGGAAGGGAGAGAGAAATGAGAATGAGAGAAAAAGTGTGAGAGAGAAAAAAATTGAGAGAGAGAGAATGAGAGAGATAGAGACGGAGCGACAGAAAGAGAAAGTGTGAGAGAAAAAGAAAGAATTGAGAGTGAGAGAAAGACAGAGCGATAGAGAAAGGGAGAGAGTTAGAGAAAGAATGAGAAAGTGAGAAAGAAAAAGAATGAGAAAGAAAGAGAGAGAAAAAGAATTGAGAGAGAATGAGAGAGAGAGACAGAGCGACAGAAAGAGAAAGTGTGAGAGAAAAAGAAAGAATTGAGAGAGAGAGAGAATGAGAGACAGAGCGATAGAGAAAGGGAGAGAGAGAAAGAATGAGAAAGAGAGAGAAAAAAAAGAATGAGAGAAAGAGTGTGTGAGAGAAAAAGAATTGAGAGAGAATGAGAGAGATAGAGACAGAGCGACAGAGAGAAAGAGAAAGTGTGAGAGAAAAAGAAAGAATTGAGAGAGAGAGAGAATGAGAGACAGAGAGACACAGAGCGATAGAGAGAGAAAGGGAGAGAGAGAGAAAGAATGAGAAAGAGAGAAAGAAAAAGAATGAGAGAAAGAGAAAGTGTGAGAAAAAGAATTGAGAGAGAATGAGAGAGACAGAGCGACAGAAAGAGAAAGTGAGAGAAAAAGAAAGAATTGAGAGAGAATGAGAGAGACAGTGATAGAGAGAGAGAGAAAGGGAGAGAGTTAGAGAAAGAATGAGAGTGAGAGAGAAAGAAAGAATGAGAGAAAGAGAAAGTGTGAGAGAGAAAAAGAATTGAGAGAGAATGAGAGAGACAGCGACAGAGAGAAAGAGAAAGTGTGAGAGAAAAAGAAAGAAATGAGAGAGAGAGAGAATGAGAGACAGAGACAGAGCGATAGAGAGAGAAAGGGAGAGAGAGAAAGAATGAGAATGAGAGAAAGAGAGACAGAGAAAGGGAGAGAGGGAGAGAAAAAGAAAGAGAGAAAGAAAAAGAGTTAGAGAAAGAATGAGAGAAAGAGTGTGTGAGAGAGAGAAAGGGAGAGAGAGAGAGAGAGAGAGAGAGAGAGAGAGAGAGAGAGAGAAGGTGGGGGTTGGTTTTGAGGTCGACCTTGCATCAAAAAAGAGCCCCGACAGGTAGCGCCCACCCTTGCAATCTGTATATTTGGGGGGCGGGTCTTCAAACCCGGCTCCTTTTAAGACTGGTGGACTTCAACTCCCAGAATTCCCCAACCAGCCAGGTTTCCCCAGAATTCCGCGTGGATAGGACAAAGAATAAAGATGGCCGGGCTATTTTTCTCTCGCCATTTTTGATAGGGTAAATCTCTCTCTCTCTTTTTTTTAATAATAATTTTTTATTTTTCCAAACTCTCCCCCATACATATATCGTGATATTTATCAGATGTTAACGTACATTCTTTTTTACATTCATATATAAGATACTTTTAATAAAATGAAATAAATACACACACATGACTTTTGGCGTTGCTCGCCCATTTCCCCTTTCACTTGTATCCCCACTCCTTCTTCTCTCCCTTCTTTCTCCCTTTCTTCTCTTCCCTACTTCCCTCTTCTTCCTCTCCTCTTTCCTTCCTTCTCCTCTTCTCCTCCAACCTTCCTACTTCCTTCTCCCCTCCTTTACTCTTTTCTCTCTCCTCTCCTTTCTTTCCTCTCATCCCTCTTCAGATACAATTCAGGGGTAATGTCCGAGCAACTCCTCTCTCCAAATTTCCTATAGGGTTGTGGTTCTCAACCTTTTTAATGCCGCGACCCCCCCAACCGGTCGTAAGTCGAGGACTACTCAACCGGTCGTAAGTTGAGGACCACTCAACGGGTGCAGCACCGTTTGCAGAATGGGACTTTTGGCGGGCTCAGCAGGGCAGAGACAGCCTGGACAATTCCTATTGGCTTTGGAAAGCCAATAGAATGAGACTCTATTCAAGAGGGTCTCTTCGATTGGCTTTCCAAAGCCCATAGAATAAAAGGGAGGAGCACAGCTAAGGAAAAGGGGGAAAAAATGGCGGACTGCGTTGTTTGGAAATGGTCTTTTGACCCCAAATGGGGTCCCGACCCACAGGTTGAGAACTACTGCTATAGGGTAGATCTCTTCATAGACGGTGGGAAGGTGGTAAAGATAATAGATCTTGATTCGGCAAAGTGGGGGGGGGGGAAAGCTGGCTGGAGCATTCTGGGAGTTGAAGTCCAACAAACCTTAAAAGCTGCCGGGTTTGGGGACCCCCGTCGTAAACCCCACGGCTTCCCCAGCCCTGGATGGTTTGTTCCGTTTATCCGCCGATGAAGAATAACCGGTGACTATTAGCGGTATTCACTGGAAGTTAATTCACTGATTTATTACCAAGCCGTGGGATGGCTTGCCTCCATTAAATTGGGGGGGGGGCTGGACTAGAAGACCTCTAAGGCCCCTTCCAGCTCTAAATCTATGATTCTAATACAATCGGAGCAATGGCTTGCCTCCAGAAGTCGTGGGCGCGCCACCCCTGGAGGGTTTTTTAAAGAAGAAAACGGATTGTCTTGAGATGGACTAGGTTCTCCTGCCTGAGCAGGGGGCTGGACTAGAGGACCTCGAAGGCCCCTTCCAGCTGTAAATCTACGATTCTATTACAATCGGAGCAGTGGCTTGCCTCCAGAAGTCGTGGGCGCGCCATCCCTGGAGGGTTTTTAAGAAGGAACCGGACAGTCGCTTGTCTGAGATGGTCTAAGGCAGTGGTTCTCCACCTGTGGGTCGGGACCCCATTTGGGGTCGAACGACCATTTCACAGGTCGCCAAACCACGCAGTCCGCCATTTTTTCCCCCTTTTCCTTAGCTGTGCTCCTCCCTTTTATTCTATTGGCTTTGGAAAGCCAATAGAATAGACTCTCTTGAATAGAGTCTAATTCTATTGGCTTTCCAAAGCCAACAGGAATTGTCCAGGCTGTCTCTGCCCTGCTGAGCCCGCCAAAAGTCCCATTCTGCAAACGGTGCTGCACCCGTTGAGTAGTCCTCGACTGACGACCGGTTGAGTAGTCCTCAGCTTACGACCGGTTGGGGGTTGCGGCATTCAAAAGGTTAAGAACCACTGGACTAGGCTCTCCTGCTTGAGCGGCGGGCTGGACTAGAGGACCTCTGGGGTCCCATCCAGCTCTCTGTCATTCAGTAAACCAGGGTTCAGCCCAAACCGAGAGCCCAGCCTTTTTACCTGCAAAGCAGCGGCCCAAAGCTGAGCCTTTTTCTATTCCCCCCCCTCATTCCCCTCCCCCCCAGGAGAAGGAAAAGTCCAGTCTCTCCTGCAGCTTGGAGGCCGAGCGTGTCCGGGCCCAGAGCCTGGAAGCCGAGTGGGATTCGGACCGGCGCCGGCAGGACGCTCTGCGGGCCACCCTGGAGGAGCAGCAGAGGAGCTGGGCCCAGCGGGAGAAACAGCTGGAAGAGCAGCGCCAGACGGCGCAGGAGGAGAGCCGGCTGCATCTGGAGAAGGAGAAGGTGAGGGCGGGGCGAGGGGGTGTGTGTGTGTCTCTCTTCTCGGCCCGCCTAGCCTGACCGGTGCGCCTCAGGGGCTGCCCTCCGCAGCCGGAGGCTGGACTTGAACTCGGCCCCGAGCTGTTGGCGACCGTTTTGGCATCCTTGTTTGTAGAAAGGGGTGGGGTGGGGTGGGGTGGGGGGCACAGAGTTAGCCCCTTCTTGGGTTGACGTCCAGGTAGCCCCACCGACCTCTTGGCTCTGTGGTGAAGGGGAAGGCGAGGTCCTGCAGCTGTAAGAGGGGGCAGTGGGAGCACTGATGGTGTAGCCTAGTTGGGTAATGAAAGGTCTGCAGGAGCATGCTCAGAGCGCATCAAGGATCACCCAAGTCTCCCTCCCTCCCTCCCTTCTTTTACATTCCTTCCTTCCTCTATATTCCTTCCTTCCTTCCTTCCTTCCTTCCTTCCTTCCTTCCTTCCTTCCTTCCTTCCCTCCCTCCCTCCTTCGTTTCTTCCTTCCTTCCTCTACCTTCCTTCCTTTACATTCTTTCCTTCCTCTATATTCCTTCCCTCCCTCCCTCCTTCCTCCCTCCCTCCCTTCCTTCTTTTACATTCCTTCCTTCCTCTATATTCCTTCCTTCCTTCCCTCCCTTTCTTCCTTCCTTCTTTTACATTCCTTCCTTCCTCTATATTCCTTCCTTCCTTCCCTCCCTTCCTTCCTTTCTTCCTTCCTCTACCTTCCTTCCTTTACATTCTTTCCTTCCTCTATATTCCTTCCCTCCCTCCCTGCTTCCTCCCTCCCTCCCTCCCTTCCTTCCTCTACCTTCTTTCTTTTACATTCCTTCTTTCCTCTATATTCCTTCCTTCCCTCCCTTCCTTCCTTTCTTCCTTCCTTCTTTTACATTCCTTCCTTCCTCTATGTTCCTTCCTTCCTCCCTCCCTTCCTTCCTTCTTTTACATTCCTTCCTTCCTCTATATTCCTTCCTTCCCTCCCTCCCTTGCTTCTTTTACATTCCTTCCTTCCTCTATATTCCTTCCCTCCCTCCCTCCCTTCTTTCCTCCTTCCTTCCTTCCTTCCTTCCTGCCTCCCTGCTTCCCTCCTTCCTTCCTTCCTTCCTTCCTTCCTTCCTTCCTTCCTTCCTTCCTTCCTTCCTTCCTTCCTGCCTCCCTTCTTTCCTCCTTCCTTCCTTCCTTCCTTCCTTCCTTCCTTCCTCCCTCCCTCCCTCCCTCCCTCCTCCCTCCCTCCCTCCCCCTAATTCCTTCTTCACCAACATCTGGGCTTCCTCCGTCCTGGCAGCTGGGGAGAGCCAGCTCCTCACGGGAGAGCGGGGGGGGGGGGGGGGGCGCCACACCCACCCAATTGTGCAGGGCCGAGGGCCTTTCCCAGGCCGGGCTGCCCCTGACCCCACCCTGGGAAAACTCCCTCCCTCTGCTGCTCCCCCAAGGAAGGAAGGAAGGCAGGAAGGGCAGCCTGGCCATGGAGCACCAGGGCTGGGAGGAACTGCAGCTGATTGGGCCTCCCGGCGCGGAGGGGAAACGGCGGCCCTCCCAAGGTGTAAGTGCCGGCTCTGCCTTGCAAGTCAGGGGTGAAGAGGCGGCTTGGCCAAAGCACCGGCCCCGTCGTTAAACTGAGGATTCCGGTTCGAAGGTGAAGTTAGAGCCCTAGCAGCAATGAAGAAGCAGTTTGGGTTGCTGGTGAAGGCACTAGGAGACGGGGAGTTCTAGTCCCACTTTAGCCATGAAAGCTGGCTGGGTGGCTTTGGGCCAGTCACCAGGAGACGGTGAGTTCTAGTCCCACTTTAGCCATGATAGCTGGCTAGGTGGCTTTGCGCCATTCACCAGGAGACGGTGAGTTCTAGTCCCACTTTAGCCATGAAACCTGGCTAGGTGGCTTTGGGCCAGGAAACTATGAATTCTGGTCCTGCTTTAGCTCTGAAAGCTGGCTAGGTGGCTTTGGCCCAATCAGCAGGAGACGGTGAGTTCTAGTCTCACTTTAGCCATGAAAGCTGGCTAGGTGGCTTTGCGCCATTCACCAGGAGACGGTGAGTTCTAGTCCCACTTTAGCCATGAAAGCCGGCTGGGTGACCTTGGGGCAACAGACTATGAGTTCTGGTCCTGC